TCCCCTGGTTCCTCCTGCGCTCCACCCTGCTCTGCTTTTTAGACACTCATGCATACATGAAAATAAGCCCGCACCAGCCACCCCTAATGACCGGCTTCACCAGAAGCCCATTGTACCAATCCAGAAACAAGGCAGCGGTCGGTGTTTTCATGGAGCTGCTCAAACTGCCACTTAAACCACTTAACACCTGCAAGCCTGAATTCCACGATGCCCACGATGTTTCTGGGGGCAGAGTCCTGGCAGCCCCGACACCCTGCCTCCTCCACGTGGCCTGAAGCCATGGGGTTTTAAGGTTGGGGAGGTTCCCTCTGTGGAAATGCCTGGCTGCTGAGCCCCTTGGCGGGGTAAGCCTTCAGACTGTGGGCGGGAGTCCCTCCCCACACCTAAGTCAAAGCTGTGCGTGGGGAGCAGGGGTGAGTCACCTTCTCCCTAGTTCCCACTGGCCTGGGTGGGAAGCGGCCCCTGCCCCCTGTCCAGCCGTCTCCTGCCCTCATTGCACCGTTAGCCCTCTGGAGGTAACCCACCTTTTTTACAGCTCTCCACCCCCTCTATTGGTCCTGCGTTTGCAAGAGGAGGTTTCATTGCAGGTTCTGGGCTAAGGGTAGCTGGGAGAGGGACAAGACGGTAGCATTTGAAGACTCTTGGTGTAAACTCACCCATCATAGCAGATATTAAGCTCTTGAGAGCTAGGGAGAGATACTGACTTCCAAGTGACCCCCCTTGAGCTTGGGCAAGTGGATTCTGTCCTTCGAGTCCCACCCCCCCTCCCTCCACCCCCTCCCCCCTCCCCCACAGTGTTCCAGTACTGGCTGTTCTTCCTCCACAAAATTTCTGTCTCACACCATAGACTTGAAGTCTCTAAGAATAAAACTGCACTTCTTTTCTCCCTGCATCCTCAGCAAGCTACAGTTGGTTCTTCATAAATGTCAGCTCCCATCAGGCCTTGCATAGCCCTCTAACACAGTACTCTGCGTTCTCTGCCTTGCCCCACGGCCCTGGGCCCCCACGGAGGCCAGAGGGCAGACGAAGTCTGTCTTAGCCATGCCATCGCCAAGCGGTTGGCCAGCCCTAAGTCTCCACCATAGTTGCTCCAGGATGAAGCCTGCTTGAAGGAATGTCAGAGGCAAGGCAAGAGCACCTGAGCCCTCTGAGGCCAGTGACCACCAAGCAGGAGGAGATGTGGTGGACTGGAGGCCAGCCTCAGGAAAGCCAGGTCACACCACTTCCTGTCATGACGTGTCCACGTGGATTTCCTGTGTGAGTGATGCCCATGCAGATGGAGTGCTTCCGGTACCCACCCCCCTAGTGAACCTCTGCACAGGTACCGGGACAGGAGCCGGGAATCCTGGGTAGCCCAGGCTCTGTCCCTTGACTCTGGCAGCCTCATCATCTGGCCTCAGAACCTGCAGGGCTGAGCTCACCATGATCACTTCTGGCTGGTTTGTGTGTGCTTTCATTCCCTAAGCTCCCCAGCCCGGACTCTGCAGCTTCCACAGGCCTGGGGCCCTGGTGCCCTCTGGAATGCACGGCCCAGTATAGCCAGAACTCCCCAGATTCTCATCATTGTTCTCTTTGTGTCCCTAAGGCTACAGCTCCTTTGCTCCTTGCTGATGTTAACTGTCTGCAGGCCATGTCCCAGCCTCCTCCCGAACTCTCCATCCTCACTCTACTCCCCATCTCTCTCCAGCTCCCTTCACTCCCTCATTCTCTGAAGAACATAGCTCTAACCCGCTGTCTCCTCCTCCTGGGGCATTTTGCAATTGTTCTGTGAGATTACAGATCCATTGGACAGTACCCCTAGGGACTGACCCTGGCCACCTCACCTCCAAGAACCTGGACCTGGTCTGTAAGGGTGTTTGCTTTCCTTGTGGCTGAATGTTGGAATCCTGCAGTGCCTCTGTGCTGATATTCCCAGTAACTGAAGGGAGGTGGGCTGGTCTAAGTCCTCCAGGATAGGACAGCCAGAGAGGAGGGGGGCTGGATGACACCGTCTTCCCCCTCTTCCTCCCAAACGTGGGCCAGGGCTGTATTCCATTCACAAGCCCTCAGTTCTGCAGGCCCTGAAGCCCCTCCAGTCCCTTGTGGCCCCAAGAGGTAGTGGGCATGGCGGGCAGTACCTGGCTATGCTCCCCACAGCTGGTGAGAATGCTTCTGAACTCCCCTCTCCCACACACTCCTGCTACCCATGCTCCTCTAGTGTCATCCCCCGGTCCAAGGCCTGGCCTCCTGGCGCTGTGGTTCCTGGGGCCAGCTTCAGAGAACCATAGATAAGGAAGGAAACCACACTGACTATGGCCAAGCACTCTTCTTCCAGCCAGGAGGCCGGGAAGCATCTGCCGAGGCTTCTTGTGTCAAAGCGTGGCCAGACAGGGCCATCATTTAGCCCGCAGCAGCCTCATCAACCAAAGATCACACCAATAATTTCTAAAAACCAACCGATTATTTGGGGCCCATTAGCATAATTTGATGTATCGTCTGCGCGTCGACTTTTCACTGGGTAGGCAGTTTCCTAACACACGCTTGGCATGTGGGGAAACTAAAAAGGATACAATTGTCTTGTCTCGAGGATTCCTTTCTGCAATCTTTCCTGTTGCAACGCACTTTCAGTGGTGCCCTTCCTCCCCTGGAGACACCTTGACCTTGGCATTACTAGTCACCCCAGCTCCCCACACTCTCCCACTCTCTGACTACCATGCCTCCCCTTCTAGATCCTTCCCCTGAGCCCTAACAAGCACTTTACCCAATGCCCCTCTGCCCAAAGCTTCCTAGCTCCTAATGAAATCGCATGCACACAGGCTGAGAGGGGGATGGGAGTGGAGTCTTCAGCATCTAGCTTGCCCCTGGGCTGAGCACCTTCAGGAGCGCAGCTACATCTCACACACACACACACACACACACACACACACACACACACACACACACTGAACTCATCTCAAAAAATCCATCCCTGGTCAAAGCAGCCCCACCGACTGTATCCCACCTGCACCCTGAATGGTGCCAGAGATCAGAGAATGTCAGAAGCAACCTTCCCGCCCGTTCCCATAGGCCAGGACACACACATTCATAGCAACCTGATCCATCCCTCTCCCGGCTCCTAGGGAAAGGAGTCCTTCCCCAGATCTCCAACCTTTCCCCTCCTCCTCTCCAGTGGATCATGCTTTCCATGGCATCAGGAAATTAATAGCAACCAGAAGAGGGGTGTCCCAGGCTGCCGCCTTCAAGTGCCGCCCTCCATCCAGTGTACCGTCACTCCCCCTACACACACACACACACACACACACACACACACACACATGCACGCGCACGCGCACACACACAGCAGAGTAGTCAGCAGGGGCAAACCCTGTAACACAATGCAGGAGGAAGAGAAGGAAGTTGGAAGGGTCCAGTGAGAACCCGGGAAACGAGAGATGCAAGCGCATAGGTCCTGGGGTAGAAGGAACCCAGCGGTGAAAAGACGAAGATGTCCTGAGAGGGAGAGGGTAGGTGGGAGGTGAGGTCAGAGGCAGGGCAGGCCCTGGCATGTTACAGATGCCCAGTTTTCCTTGTGAGTCTGGCGCGGCACACAAATTGCAAAGGTGTGATGCCATTTGCAATTTCAAAGAAGTTCGGGAAGGGGAAGGCACAAAATGTAGAAGCAGGGTGACTACGGTGTCATACAACAGCTTACCTGGTGGTCTGAGTTTGTAGAGATGGGGTATAGGGTATGGCGGCATCCACGTAGGCAGTGACGAGAGGTTAAGGTGATGAGCTTCCTCCCCCCCCCAAAGGGCAGCCATGGAGAGGCTCTCACTGCTCTCACCGATGCTTGTAGAAGCTCAGGCTTGAAGGAGGGAGTGGAGTGCAAGATGGAGCTTACAGCTCTCTGTAACCCCTGGGGCGTGGCTGGGCTGTGGGGCCATCCAGACATGGGTTCTGAAGGAAAGGACAGGCTGCTCACACCTCACAGCCTCCACTCTACCTTTGGACACTTCTCCCACGCCTGGCACTATGCTAGGAGCCACCAGGTCAGGCATGGATGGGGCACGGGAAGGAGCAGCCAGGAGGAAGTTCAGAGCCCTTGGATGGGACACCAGGAGGTGCCACCTCAAGCCCTGGGCTCCAGACTCAACTCTGCCCCCATGTTGTTAGGATCTTGGCCTCAGGGGCCTGAGCCTCCTATGCATTGTCCTCATACAGCTGCCGGTCACAGAGCTGTACTGATGAAACATTTGTCAGATCCATGGGAAGACAATGGAAGAGCTCTGAGAGTGAAGGGCTGGGGTTTATGACTGAATACGAGAGGGCAGCTAAGAGGCTGCTGCGAGGGTCTTCCTGGTAGAGAAGCAGGAGAAGGTGTAAGCCTGGATACTGGGAATAAGGTTACCAGGGTGGCATAGGCCTCTTGCTAACACCCTCAAATGCAGGAGGGTGGAGAAGAGACAACACCCCAAGGCTGAAGAAAGAAAACCAGAGTCCCTAGAAGGTTATGGATCCATTTTCACTTGTAAAGCTTGGTTAAGTAGCAAGAAGACCCAATGTGCACTACATGTGTGTGTGTGAATATATGTGTGTGTGCACATGTGTGTGAGTGTACATGCATGTCTTTACATGTGTGCACAAATGTCTGTGGACATATGTGTGTGTATGCATGTGTGTTTGTGTGCATTCGTGTGTGCATGTATGTGGACACGTGTCTGTGTGTGTATCTATGTATATATGTGGTGTGTATGCATGTGTTCATGTATGTGTGCATGTGTCTGTGTGCATGTGTGTATGCATGTGTATTTGTGTGTGCCTGTGTGTGTATGTGTGTAATCTTCAGACTCTGAAAGCAAACAATTTGCTAAGTTGGGCGTGGTGGCTTATGCTTGATGTCTCAGCATTAGAAAGGTAGAGGCAGGAGGACTGCCATGAGCTAAAAGCCAACCTGAACTAAATAGTGATTTCCAAGCCTGCCTAAGCTACACAAAATGAAGCCTTGTCTTAAAAGTAAATAAATAGATTATGGAAAAGAAATGTAAAGTTTTAAATTGCTGAGTGGCTGGGGACTATATTTATTGGGTGATTCTAGCAATTGTCACAGAAAGGCAGTGGTTCCAGATCATTGCTCCCACATCAGTCACCAACCTAAATACTCCACCAACTACTCAGGACACAGAAACTGAGTCAAGGGAAGAAAGCTGAGCTGCACCAGGTAGGCTGAGTCTGGGCCACCCTTCCTGCAGGGACTGCTACCAGCCTTGTCTCCACTGCTGCTGGGGACACAGTGTAGGGAATTGCACAAAGCTGACACTCTGCTGACGGCACACTGAATCCTACCTGTCAGTCTGTCTGGAGGCCCCTCCCTCCCACGACTCACACTCTCTCTCTGGGTGAACACTCTGACAGTCTACGGGGGTCCTGTGCTGTTCCCACCAAGCAAAAGTCTGGAGACAAAGGCCAAAGTCCGAGTCCATGGTGCACTCCGCTCCAGCCAGCTGTTTGAGTACTGAGGTACTTCAGCTTCAGTTTCCCTGCCTGTGAAAGGGGTGACAACACCGGTGGCTCACATGGGCCTCCGGCCGCTAGTGAGCTGTAGTTCACAATCTCAAAGCTAGCGTGGTGGCTCAGGCCTGTGGCCCAGCATTTGGAAGGCTAAGCCAGGAGGGTCATGATGACTGTAGAGCCGGTCTAACCTACACAGAGTCCATAAATGAGCGTGGTAGAGTGTCAGTGCACTTGGAAGTTTCCTGTCCCTCCCGCCAGTTCCCTCTGCCGCTTACAAAATAACACTCCGAGGCTTAATATCAATTACAGTTGTTGGGCCAGTGACTCAGACATATTACTGGACAGCTCTGTCTTATAAATTAACCCATTGTACTACTCTGTGTACTGCCATGAGGCTGTGGCTTACGGATAATACTCCAGCATGATACTTCTTCAGTGGCTACATGGCGTCTCCCTGACTCCACCTTTTTTCTCTCCGTAATTCTGTCTGGATTTCCCACCTAGCTACATTTTGCCTGGCCATTGGTCAAAACAGCTTTGTTCATCAACCAATGAAAACAACACATATTTGCAGCATACCTATGGGCATCCCATATCAGGCCAGCCCTGCAAGCTCAGAACTGCTGGGGCTGTGGGGCTGGGAAGGGGAATATCCTGCCAGTGCGGATGGGATCCATCTTGTGGCCTCTTCTAAGGACTTGTCTGTTGTTGCATCAGTCTGGGGTGGGTCTTCTTGGGAAAGACTCTGCAGCTTGCAAAGAACTGGGTGACTCTCTGCCATGCAGCAGCACCCCCATCACCCTGCTGGGCTGTTGAGCCCATCCCCCACCCCTCTCAGCACAGTTCTCCACCCAGAATCAAACCCTGGCTCTAGCTAATCCTCAGAAGGCAGTGAGGACAGGGGACAGGAGGTGGGGACAGAAGGCGGGTTTTGATGTCTGAGCCTCAGCTCTGTGCTCAGGCCCACAGAGTGCGCATGGGTTGACCAGACAAATGTGCCAGCAAGTGACCCTCGGGAGACCGTGGTGTCCAGACAGGGCAGCTGGGTCCTGAGTCGTGCAAACCAGGCACTCACTGGCTCCTTCTGCCTTACCTTGCAGGGAACTTCAAAGGCCTGTGCAAGCAAATCGACCACTTTCCAGAGGATGCAGACTACGAAGCAGACACCGCAGAGTACTTCCTCCGTGAGTGCCCTGGTGTTGTAATCCCCCAGCCCAAGGCTCCCTCAAATTATCCCTTCTGAGACTCAAAGGTCAGGTGTATTCGGAACCCGGTTACACAGAGGGTAGGAAACCGCTGCTCCCTCTTGACTGGCCTACTCGTCCCCCCAGACCCTGAAGCCTTGCCTCCTCCAGGAAGCCACCCCGTTTATCATGCTGAGAGGAGAGATGATGTCCTTGTCCCCAGTTCTGCAGAGAAGGAACGGCCTCTTCCAACACTGGACATGGCACAGAACAGGAATCCAGGAAACGTTTCTCAAATAATTACAAAACCAGCAGGCAGTGACAGTGCACTTGTACCAGAGAGACAAAAAAAGGGATAGAATTTTTCCTTCCCTTCCCAAGTCAAATTAAAGTTAAACTGTGGTGTCACCGCTGTGATCTTAAATCCCCCTGAGACATATTATCAAGAGAAAGCATTTTTGAAGCCCCAAGGAAATTTCTCAAGCATCCCCAGAAACCAACACAGACATTGTTAGTTATCAAAAGGGATTTCCCAGAGAGGAGATGAGGGTCCTTGAGGTCTGGGGCAGCCATGCCGAAGGCTCTCAGGCTGCTCGATGAAGGGTTTGCTCTGCTCACAGAGTCCCAGCAGTGTTCCCGCCTCTGCCTCTGCTCCCGGGTGCCTCTCCTCTCTCCCTCCATGACAGCATCCCAGTTAACATCACCTGGGATCCTGTTGATTGAAAAAAAAAATGTAGGAGGCACTTTATTACATGAACTGCCCTGTCTCTTTCAGTAATCACTACTCACATCAGAGGCAATGGCTTGCAGGTCAGCCTGAGATCCGGTTTCCCTGCAAAGCCTTTGCAAAGTGACACTGGTGAGGCAGCCAGAAAGGGATGGGAGGGAAGCAGGACACAACTTACAGAGTATTTATTACTTACTTATTGGTTTTTCAAGACACAGTTTCTCTGTGTTAGGCCTGTAGACCAGGCTGGCCTTAAACTCACAGATCTGTCTGCCTCTGCCTCTTGAGTGCTGGGATGGAAGGTGTGTGCCACCGTGGCCTGGGTAGTTTTTTGAGGGGGTCGGGTGAGGGAGCAAAACACCATGAGTGTCATCATTTCCTTTTCTGGATTCCCTCGTGATTTGGCTCCTAAGTAGAATTCCCACAGGGCTGTCTGGTTGTCATCACTGTGTCTGGAGTCAGACAAAGCAATAAACCTAGGTTGGGTGCCTACTGTATGCTGAAGCCTGTACCGAGCAGTGGGGAGGCTTGGACAGACGGCTGAGACAGTCCCTGGTGCCCGTAAGAGCAGGCTTGAGGGGGAAGACCCTTGGAGACGGCTGGTCTCAGGACAGCCTGATAGAAACAAGACCAGGATACAGAGGTAGGAGGGTGGAGCCGAGCCCCACACACCTGGGCCCCGGGTCTCACCTGGACCAGCACAGTGAGCGCAGAGCACTTCATCAGCAGGGCAGGAGGCAGCTTGTCTCATTCAGTACAGCACCCAGAATACAGTAGTTGATCGACAAATGCCTCTCATGAAATACAGGGTTCCTCAGGGGCATCCTCTGCAGTGCTGTGTCTCAGTCTCCTTAGGGTAAAACAGAGAAGTGTCTTGGGGTATCGGCTCATGTTGTCCCTGCACTGGGATTTGTGTCAGCAACATGGGTCCCAAGGTCTGACTTGAGTTCACTGAGCAACGCAGGGGTTCTAGGTGTGTATAACAAATGAGCAAACATTTTCTGCAAAGGATGAGACAGGAAATGTTCTCAGCTGTTCGAGCCACAGTGGCTCCACCCTAGCCACAGACACTGGAAGTTTTTGAGTAAATGTACCCCCCCTTTTGGTTTTTCTAGACAGGGTTTCTCTGTGTAGTCCTGGCTGTCCTGGACTCACTCTGTAGACCCGGCTGGCCTCAAACTCAGAGATCCTCCTGCCTCTGCCTCCCGAGTGCTGGGATTAAAGGCACGCGCCACCACAACCCCTTTTCTAAATGACAGGATCTCATGTAGCTCAGGCTGACCTTAAACTTCCGATTTCCTTTCTTCTACCTCCCCAGTGCTGGGATTACAGGCATGAGCCTGATTTTTATTAGATGTCACTTGCTAGAGAAAAATCGACACAGGGTTCTTAGTGGCACTTCCCATGAAAGTTCATTCACAAAAACAGGCAGCAACCTGCCAGGGGTGGTGTGGGTGTGCCGGCCCTGAGTGCATGGTACAGATGGTGTGCTGGCCCTGAGTATATAATGTGGTGGTCTGGGCTAGACAGCTTGGAAAGGTCAAAGCCACTGCTTCTGTCATTCTATGAAGCCAGGGAAGCTGGGAGGCAGGGATGATTTCTCTAGAAGAGTCCTTGCCTTCATACACCTCTTCTGATTTTTTTTTTTGTTTTTGTTTTTGTTTTTCGAGACAGGGTTTCTCTGCATTGTTTTGGAGGCTGTCCTGGAACTCACTCTGTAGACCAGGCTGGCCTTGAACTCACAGAGATCCGCCTGCCTCTGACTCCCCAGTGCTGGGATTAAAGGCATGAGCCTGGCACCTTTTCTGGCACCTCTTAGGCTTCTCATCCCCTGCCTGTATCCCCATCTCATGCCTCATCACCCCACACTACCATTTTGCCGGTTCACACCCAGCATCCTGGCAAGACAGATGTTTGTTTCTTAGTCTCTGCCCCATGCATGTCTTCACGCCCATGTAGCACAACGCCTGACAGGGAGCCAGGTCTGATGACATGCTTCTCTGACAGACCAAGGAATTGGCTGGAGGGGGAAAAGGGTGTGGAGGGAATAGCACCAGAAACAAAGCAAGCAGCAGGGCCTCAAAGAGGAATTAATTGCTGAGGGCTTGCTAGGTGGGTGGGGCTCCCCTGGAAGTGGGTGGAGCCTGAGTCAGCCCCTCCCCCCCCACAGGTTAGTTCACTTGGCTAAGCCTCTCACTTGAGAGGCTTGGAGAGGGCCAGAGTTACCCTGAGAGCTAGCTATCCAAGGGAAGACTAAAGCTCCTGTCTCAGACAGGAGGTGTTGAGGGAGTCAGCCCCCACCCCACTACACTCCCCACAGAGCTGCTCCCAAAAGTGTTTCCTAAAGATGTTACCAGAGTGTAAACTTTGGTTCTAAAAAGCTCATTCATGCTGGGCGGTGGTGGTACACACTCCACTGGATCTCTCGAGGCCTGCCTGGTCTACAGATCGAGTTCCAAGACAGCCTTGGAAGCTACAGAGAAACCAAAACCAAAACAAAACAAAAAAGCTCAATCATTAATTCATTCACTCTGACATGTTTAGGGACTCTTGTCAGTACTCAAGACCTCAGGGTGAACCAGACAGCTGAGGACTTTGGGAAGGTCCTGGTGGAGGCAGGAGCCCATGTCCCTGCCCGAGATGGCTTCCAGAGAATAGGGTGTGATGGGGAAAGGCAGGGAAGGTGTGTCACCTAGCTGAGGGACCAAGACGTCTTTCCGAATGAGGAAAGGGAAAGCAGCGAGATGGTCTCTTGGGAAGAGACAACCTAGTAAAGGGAATCACCAAGCAAAGACTCTGAAGCAAAGACAGCACCCCATCTTCAGGCAACACAAACAAGGCCAGCCTCGCTGGAGTCCAGTCTGCAGCAAAGACAGCAGAGACTCTCGGCCTAGTGGGTCTGAGGAGAGGGTCTGAAAGGGGCAGCTGGCCGTTAGGGGCAGGGGACTAGAGGGCGCAATGGAGGCAGGGAGACCAGTTCCAGCTTTTGAGGGGCCGACCAGAGAAAGGTGAAGCAAGGTGAAACGGACAGAGTTGAGGCAGCCAGAGACGGGGTGAGCTGAAGGCCAGACAGCTGGTCGAAGGCTGGGTTCCTGGTAGAGGCTCGGCATTGAACTCCAAGTAGAGAACTCTTTACAGGACAGAGTGGAGGGCAGGGAAGGAAGCTATCCAAGACAGTGGAAAGGGTTCAGTGAATGGAGACACCTGAGCCTGGCCCTTCAAGGCAGCTCGCCTAATTTAGATCTCTCGACTTGAGGGGACAGTGACCACGCAGGGTGGGCTCCAGGAAGGCAGTGAATGCTCCAGTGGTTCCAACATCACAGCCTGTCTATCTCACTGTTCCTGTTGCTATGGTAAGATAGCCTAACAAGAGCACCCCAAGGGAGAAAGGGTTTATTCTGGCTCACTGTTGAAGGGCACGGTCCCTTGTGGCAGGAAAGTCAAGGTGCCAGGGGCTTGAAGCCGCTGACCCCATCACATCCATAGCCAGGAAGCAGAGAGACGAGCACACGCTGCCGCTCAGCTCCCTCTCTCCACTTACACAGTCCAGGACCCCAGTAGGGGATGGTGCCGCCCACAGTGGGCAGATCTTCACAACTCAGTGCAACCACGATGACCCAGACAGGCACACCCAGAGGCTCATCTCCATCAAGTTGGCAACACTAACCTGACAGCACCCAACTTTGCTCCACTCAGGACAGGCTCAGACCTGTGCCAACCCTGGCTCCCCACACCCACCCAGCCAAGGGCCGCCTGAAGCACTTTTCTGGAATGCAGGAAGCTCTGAAGACACACAAATGTGAGCTGAGTGGAGCAGGGCCTAACCAGACAAGCCCCCAGGGCGCATGAACCCAGAAACAACGCCTACCTGAGCTCCTTGCGGCTGAGAGAGGCGAGGGCCAAGCTGCCCAAGGCCCGGTCTGGCACCCAGCTAGAGTACCAGCTCAGCTCTGACCTACTGGTACCTTCGCCTCTCTGACCAGTCACCTGGCTGTAAAAATTAGGGTATCACCTACCAAATAGCATCATCATGAGAGTCAGGGGATGCAGAGAAACATCCTATCCTCCATCCCCACCCCAGATCTCATCTTGTTTCTGACTTCAGGTTTGAAATATAATTTGAACACAGATTACACCTATTTTTTTAAAACAAACAAGCAAACAAAAAGCAACTCAATGAAGAGCCAAGAGAGAATCTGGCCCCGCCCTCTCCCTCAACAAAAGCTGTGAGCTTCTCTTCATCCACACACTCGGTCAGCACACCTTCCCAGAGCCTCACTGTGTGCCAGGCATTCGGGTTGGTGTGAGGCCCCTCACCTCAACAGATGCCAAGTTCCCTGCCCAGGATGTCAGGCTTCGCTAAAATGATAGCGGTATGAGGAAAGGGGCGGAGCCAGCAAAGCGGGCTTTGCCTTGGCAGCAGCTCTGCCCAATCCACAGAGGGTAACTGCTGGGCCATACAAGCCCTTTTCTGTGTTTGGAACTCACTCCAGGGAAGGCAGAGATGTGAGCAGAGGTGGAGGCAGGATGTGCATCGGCCTGTCCCCTTTGTCACTGGCCGTTACACTCTTCCCAAACCCATGACTATTGTAAGATGCACCCCTGTAAGCTAAGCCCTGGTGAACCTGCGCCTCCTTCTTCCTGGGGGTCTTAAGCCTCCAGTGAAGCTACCACCCCAGTGACACATGTATCTTCCTCCTTCCCTTCCAAGTGTGAACAACCCACAGTCTCCCAATCCTCCAGGAGCAGCCTCCTTCCTGTCAGCCAAGCCTACAGCATCGAGGCCTGGCCTCAGGCACTTAAAGATTTGCAATCAAAGAAATTAGCAAATTCATCAGAAAACCGGTTAGAGTATGCTGTTCTGTGATACAGAGTCCAGCAGGAAAGGGGAGTCTACTGCCAGGGTCAGGTAGGGCTGGCAGCCCTCCTGGGGAGTTTGAGTGACAATCTGAGGAACAAAACAGAGTGAGCACAGCCGAAGGGGCCAGCGTGCCACCTCTGCCCTGCTTGTTCGCCCACAGCGACTACACACAGAGGGTTCTAGAAGGGTGTGACTACGCAGGAGCCTAAAGCTCAGCTCCTGGTCAGTAGAGGAAACAGGGTGTGCCTGCTCACAAGCCACTACCCAGCCTTCCTCAGGACCTGCTGCAAGGAATGGTCTTCCTGAGAGGAGGGAGGGGTGGATGGGTGGATGGGTGGATGGGTGGATGGGTGGGTGGGTGGATGGGTGGTCAGTCTTCATCTCTGGCCCAGCATCAATAAGGGTGAGATCTCAGGGCCTCAGTAATGTAGAAATAACCTTTGGTCCCCTTACACCTCTCCTGGTTCCGAATACCTTTGCTAAGTGTGATGGTGTGGACCTCACCTCACCTACCATTGCCCCCACTAAAGATAAATGGCCACACTGTTTGTCCCACCCAGCACTATAGGATGTACCTGTTGTGGCGGCCCCTGCCTCTTTCTTAGTCTGAATGAGGAAAAGGAGATGTTGGCTAGTGGCCATCACCCCCTTGCGAATGCCAGCATATGTCTCTGCTAGGGTCAACATCTGTGCCGTGTTCTGTGTCCATGCATCTAAGTGTCTGTGATGTATCCATGTATGAATGTATGTATGTATGTATCTGTACATGCCTCTTTCTATGTCAGGGGCAGATCTATGTGCTACCCATGTCCCTGCTATGTCCATAAGATGGAAATTTGTGTTTCTTAGTTTCTCCGTGTGGTTTCGAGTGAGGGAAAAAGAATCAGGGCAACTGGTTCCTGTCCACACTCACATATTAAGCACCTACTGTATGCCAGACATCCAAATCTACAATATTATAGACATTCATAGTGAAAGACCAATAGGTG